CCCCCCCCACCCCCCTCCCCCACCAAAAAAAATCAAACCAAAAAAAAATTGAAACTAAAATATTCTTACCATTTTGTTCACATTCTCCTACTTCTAGGTAGTTTCCATTTTCTGGGTAATATAATGCTACCATTAAAAACACCTACTGCCATGCCAACATAAATAGTTTGAAATAGAAGGCTATCAATAGTTTGAAATAGAAGGCTATCGATCTAGGCATGGAGCACGACTATTTTCACTAGTTGTTTCAAATTCTTCATTACATGTTTAAAAAGATTACTTAATGGCTTGGACCATCCTATAGATATAACGAAAGCAACAGCCCTGCTTCAAGGCTATGAACTTGAAGGCCAACTTCATTTTGATACTACATGATCACCACCATCTCAATCTTCACCCAACATGATAGACTTGACTAGTGTAGATCTGTGGATTCATCAGCACTTGTTGATTTGTTGTGCTGTAGATTTGGGGATTCACTGCACTTGCGAGTTCGATATGCCATAGATCTGTGAGGTTCACTGGAGCGAGAGGTGTTCCTAAGAAGAGTTTTGATAGAAGAAACAAAGGAGAAATTTCTTGATTTTACTTTTCCAATAGCTGATGGCAGAAGGATTAAGGCTGAACAGAGTACAAGGAAGCACAAGGGCCTCTGGGCCGCAAAGAAATTAAGAAAACATATAAGCAAATAAAACAATGAAGATCAATATGGTAGCCATTCTGGTAGTAAAGTCTACTTGTTGGATGGTCGTGTTTAGAAGATGAGACATAAGGCAATTTTTATAGATGAATTCTAGGCCTCACCTAACATTGCCTAGGCCTTACTTAGGTGTATATGTATAAAGATGACAGCTTCAATTTCTACTTCTATGTATAAAGATGAGATCATATTAGTTATTTGCTAATTTTTATATTACATTTAAAAAACAATTAAAAAAGCCTTATGTCTAGGGGTGCAAAAGAATATGTGCATCCATGTGTGTGTGTGTGTGTGACTCACAAGGCCACCGGCTATGAGCTGGCAGCCCATTTTATCCATGTGTGTGTGACTCATAAGGCCACCGACTATGAGCTGGCAGCCCATTTTAAATGGGCTGCCAGCTGTATGACATGTGAGCCCCCAAACGAAGTGACTAGTAGGAGGCTCACATGTCAAGCGGCTCCCATTATGCAAAATGAAGAGCCAGCTCATACACATTTTTCCTATATATAAACACAGAAACACACACACATCTATTGAAATATCCGGATCTGTATATGAAATATCTAAATACATGCTAGTCATACAACTCTAATTATTTTAATTCTTAGATTAATGGATTTGAGGTTTAATTTGATGATCAAGAGATATTAGCTTTTTAAATATAACATATTAATGAACTATCTCATAACATATGATCTATATTTCTTTCAACATTATTTGGTTTTCATATCAGTTTAATATCCACATGTACATTCGTGTGTCATATCCGTATCCGTCTTAGCGAAATATGGATATAAGTTACCGAGTCATATTTGTATTTGTATCTAGATTCATGAATGGTAAGTGGATACGAATATGACATCATACCCGAGTCGTATTCGAACCGTTTGCACCCCTACTTATCTCTCATCTCCTAAACACAACAATCCAACAAGTAGACCTTATCTCTGATCTCCTACACATACTATTAGAATGACTACTATATTGGTCTCCATTGTTTTATTTATTTATTTATTTATTTTTCCCTTCTTTGCAGTCTGGAAGTCTTAGTGGTTCCTTAGACTCCAATCACTCCTAAGGCTTCTACCGTTAGCTATTGGAAACATAAAATCAAGGAACTTCTCCCTCCAGTTCTCCTGTCGAAACTTTTCTCAGAAAAACATCTCCCTCCAGTGATCTACAAACCTATGGCACACCAACCTACAAGTGCCAATGATTCCATAGACCTATAGTACAATGAACCCATAGAACACCATGTGCCAGTGAATCCAAAGATCTACATCATAACGAAAATGGAATCCAAAGATCCATAGACCTACAGGTAGAGTGGAATCAAACCGAATCGAATACTATGTTATTCAGATTCAAATTCAATCTAACTTATCAAAAATGGAGTTGGATTTGAATTCGGGATGAATAGCAAAATGCTAATCACATTCTACTTGTTTAATGTTTAACTATTTGCCAAATATTCATAAATGTTTGATCACAAGATTGTTAAAATCACAAGTCTGTTAAATTGCCAAATAGTTTGAAACTCAAGTTTGGCAATTCGTTTTTATATTTTATTTTTGGCTAAAATACCAAATTGGTATATTTATACAACGCTTTTGCCAGTTCGGTATTTTAAAAACTCCGGCGACGACAAGGCATTAAAGCTTGTACTTTTTGTCAATAAGGCACTTTTCTCAAAACTCCGACGAGAAATTTTGCATTTAACCCCCTTATCTACCAAAATTATTAAATTTGTGCCCTCTCTCCTCTCCTCCTCCTCCTCTCCCATTCCCCTCTCCCTCCAGCGCACCATCGTCCTCCTCCTCTCCTCCGTCCTCATCTCCCTCCTCTTGATTCTATCCTCAGCCATCAATTCTCCAGCATTCTTCTCCAAGGATTTTGGAGTACCAACCTGCCTCTTAAACATAGATTCCGAAGAACCCAATGCACTTTCATTGCAGCTCCCTGATCCATGACTCGGCCCCCCCCCCCCCGCCAGCCTCACCACTCTCTCCATATACTCCGGGTGAAACTCCGCCCCCTTACTCGCCTCAAAATGACTCGGCGAAGGCTCCATCGCAAACGCCAACAAATGCAGCGGCCACACGACCTTTGCCATCCTTAGGTACTCCCTATAGAACCCTGTCCTCGGGTGGGCCCCGCCCATCACCTACCGCCTCTGCTCGGTGCTGCCGAACAGTGACTCCTCCATCTTGGGGTGCACCATGGAGAGGTACTTCTTGGTAGCAAACTTGCCGAATTGGCAACTAAGGAGGATGCCGAGGACCTCGGCTAGGTCCATGTGGTGCATGTCACGGAACTGGGAGAAGCAATCACTGCGGAACTCGGAGGGGTGGAGGAGGGAGGAGAGGGAGCCGTCAATGTAGAAGGTCCCGTTCTCGAAGCCATGGAAGATCTTGCGGGTAACGTTGGACTCGAGAGCATGCTTGGCATGGGCCGAGTCAACGTGGGGGATGGTCAGGTGGTGGTCAGAGGTGTCGGCGGGGTCAGAGGGAGAAGGGAATAGGAGAGGAGGAGAGGGGCACAAATTTAATAATTTTGGGAGATAAGGGGGTTAAATGCAAAATTTCTCACTGGAGTTTTAAGAAAAGTGCCTTATTGACAAAAATACGAGCTTTAATGTCTTGTCGTCGTCGGAGTTTTTAAAAATACCAAACTGGAAAAAGCGTTCGTATAAATATACCAATTTGGTATTTTAGCCTTTTATTTTTTAAAGTCTAAAATGTATGACCTTCAAAAATATCATATATTAATTTTACCCCGCAACGCGGCCAATTTCTATATGTAATATTATACTAGCTAATTAAAATATTAGAAAAATAACTATCATATAAATAAATTAATTTAACTTAATTTAAACCATTAATAAACAAATATTTAATAAACAAATCCAATGGTTAAATTCTATTCAGTTATGAACCGAATACTAAAATCTATTCATTTAGTGCAAGGTAACGGATCGTGGATAGCATCATGTAGCGATGAGGCACCACTAAAGCTATTTGGTGCAACAGCGACAAAAAATGCTATGTCAAATAGCGGACCAGTTTAAATATGTACAAGTATTCACAAAATAAGAAAAAATCAAGAAAAATCTACAAATTCTACAAATGTATATTTGATGATTTATAGAGATCCTAAGCTTAAAAATTCAACAAATATGTGATGAAGGGCTAATTTGGCGGCAGAGGGCTGAAGCATGAGAGGGAAGCTGAAGCTTGAGGAACTTTGTCGACAGGTGAAGACGAGAGATGGTGAGAGGAGAGCTGAGAAGAGGTGGCATTGGCATTGAGCTTTGAAGAGGATAATTTTGCGGTGAGAGAGACCTTTAAAGAGAGAAAGAAGGTGGCAGATTTGGGGAGAAACAGGAATGAAAAGAGGAGGTTGCGACGTCTAGGGTTTTTTTGGATAGATATTAGAGAGTAGAGAGAGAAATGGGAATGATATTGGTTTTATTAAAAATTTGGCTCGCATTTGGTACGGATCAGGTTTATTCTAAATATCTAACTCAATCAACCACCTTCCTTTAAACAGCGGGTTAAAGCAGTGCAAAGCACATTTTCCCCCATCGGCGCGCTTCTTATCGCTATTGCAAGCAAAAAAAATATAGAAAGCTCTTTTCGTCACCGCAATTGCCCAAAGCAGCGCGGTGGACCACCGCTAGTACATTTAGCTGTTTTGCCACTATTTAAAACCTTGATTTAGTGTTAAATGAAGTACCAAATCGAATATAATTGAATACTTAGACAAATAAATAACGAACTAGTTGTTAATAATCTTGTTTGGTTCCACCCCTACCTAACCTAAGATGCTAAATACACCAAGCTCATGCAACAAAAAAATAATCTCTGAAATTATCCCATGTCTGTCAATTATAAGCTTTTAGAAAGTGTCAGGTACAGTAGTAAAAGGAGACTGTACAGTTCAAATTTTGAAAGGATGAGTAAACATGCACTCATCTTTTCAAAACACCTCCAAACCCAACAAAAAAACAGAGAAAAAGCAAACGCCACACACTCGAAATCCCACCCAGGAAAAGGGAAAAAAAAGAGGTAGACAAAAAAAATTAGAGAGGAGACTTATTGCAAGGTCCACATGGTGTTGTTTTGTTAATAATGGAAACCCATTATGTTTACTTACAGGAAAGCACTAACCAAAAAGGACATGTATCGATACTTTTTTAAGGTGCTCAGTTTTTCTAAGTGAATATTGCTTGTAATTTAAGTTGCGCTTTTAAGCAGAGTTTAAAGCCTGGACAGAACTACTTCCAAGGTAGAGTGGAGACAAATGGATTAAAAGATTGGAGAACAATACATGAGACAAGGAAGGTGGCATTTTCTCATGGAGATGCATAGGGAAAGGAAAAACATCTGCAGTCAAGAAGCTACATCTTCAGGCTTCTCTAGACGTATTTATCTGAATAAGCTTCTTCAAAATAATTATGAAACAACTAAAGTGGCACTCTTCTTAAGGACTTGTTCTAGAAATCCAAAAAAAAACTCATTTAAGTAATGTCAAAGAAAACCTTAACATTTGACAATGTATTATAACAACTAATAAGACAACATTTAGAGAAAAAAAATTTCAATGGAATGGAACACAAATAACTATATATATATATATATATATAATATATATATATATATAATATATATATATATATATATATAGACACACACACACACATACATACATACATATACATCTATATAACTCTAGAATAAGAAAGCAGGTCAGCTCATTCTTCCTACAGACAGAAAAGAATAAAAACACATGCATACCTGAATGGAAGTCAGTATAGCAGCAACATCATAAATAGGACTCCATTGGTTTTGTAAGATATCCAAGCAAATGCTTCCATCTGCATAGACTAATAAAGCCATGGACATAAGATTATTACCGTCGTAACACCTATGTAATGAGTTAGTACTATGTAAAATATCTAGAAAGTACATCTCAAAGCAATATAACTTGCATGTTGTGTGTTATATTGTGTGTGTCCTTATACGTATATTGCAATCAGTATTTGGACATCATGAATCCATGAAAATCTCACAACTTACTATTTGGGTGAAACATTCTCGAGACAAATCTGACTGTCGGTGGCTTGTTTGGATAATCCTCAGTAAACTGCAATGTCAGTTTAAACGTACCTGTATCATAAGAAAATCTCAGGTAAGAAACTGAAATCTACTTTATGAGACCATAAAAAATTATGCAAGACTGCTGTTTATTAGGATCCAAATCATGCATCTTAAAACTAGCAGTTGTTACCATATATAATACATGAATGACACACCACAGCCCAATTAGCCTCCAAATCAAGAGAACTAAGTAGCCTCCGTCTAGGTAAAAATGAGAGAAAATCAGATGTACCACGTATAGATATAAATACAGCCCTAATTATGCAAGACTACTGTTTATTAGGATCCAAATCATGCATCTTAAAACTAGCAGTTGTTACCATATATCATACAAGAATCACATGCTACATCCCAATTAGCCTCCTAATCAAGTGAAAGTAAGAGTAAGAAAACTCCGGCTTTAGTACACTAAGCAGTCTTCATCTAGGTAAAAATGAGAGAAAATCAGATGCATCACGTATAGATGTAAATACTGCCCTAAAGCTCATTTATTCCCTGTAGATACTGTCAGAGTTATTTAAACAATGGGGAAAACAATGCCAAACTCTATTATATAAGTTGGAATAAATTTTATAACAGCTGAGATTACATAAAATGTGATTCTGTCATGTCATGGATATTCTGTGAGAACAGGCGTACTAGGAGTAATTAGAGTATCATTCGACAACAAATTGAGGGCATAGCCTTCGACAATCATCCCAAAGCTAGAGGCAATTATAATAGAAATAGGTAACAATTAATAGCTAAAGGCGACAAAGCTCGACACAAAGTAATCATATAAAAATCTCACTATTTTGCTAAAGGTAACAAAGTTATGCTAAAGGTAATAAATTAGACACGAAAGAAACAACTAATAACTAAATGGCGAGTTTGAAAAAAAAGATAATAATTCATAGCTAAACAGGACAAAACTTGACACAATGTTTTCAAATAAAAAACTCTTTATTTTGCTCAACTTTATAAGTTAGAATGAAAAAGTTCTTAGGAAATGCAATAACTAATAACTAAAGGTGACAAACACAACACAAAGTTATCAAATAAAACATTTTCCATTTCGATTAAGGTAACAAAATTATGCTAAAGGTGACAATTAATAGCTAATGTTGACAAAGTTCAAAACAAATATTACAACTAAAAGCTAAAGGAATAAACTCGATATGAAGTTGTCAAATTAGAAACCCTTTATTTTGCTAAAGGTGACATTATTTCGCTAAAGGTGAGAGATTATGCTAAAGGTAATTAGCAAAAACAAATATAACAATTAGCTGAAGATGACATAACTGGATGCAAAGTTGTCAAATAAAAACTCTTTATTTTGCTAAAGGTAACAAAATTATGCTAAAGGTAAATGTTACACAAATGTAACAATTAATACCTAAAGATGAGTAGGTTCAAAACATATGTAATAATTAATAGCTAAAGGACAAAACTCGACACAATTATCAAATAAAGGACCCTTTAATAGCCAAATGTAACAAAAACAAAGTAACAATTAATAGCTAATGGTACCAAATTCCTGAGCATATGTAACCAATTAATAGCTTAACGATAATATCTAAATATGACAAAATAAATAAAGCTCTTAAAATTGCCAAAGGTGACAATATGTAACAATTAATAGCTAAAGGTGATAAAACTCGACATAAAATTAACAAATAACATACTTTTTTGTTTTGCTAGGTAACAAAATTATGCTAAAGGTCACAAGTAAAACACAAATGTAACAATTAATAGCTAACAGTGACAAAGTTCAAAACATTATATAACAATCAAGCACTAAAAGCTAAAAATACTAGACACAAAGTATGCTAAGTGTAACAAGCTATACACGAAGTTAACAACTAATAGCAAGTGAAGATAAAATCAAAACAAATATAACAATTAATAGCTAAAGGCGACAAAGCTCGACATAAAGTCATCAAATTCAATACAAAACTTTATTTTTTTTCTCAGATGACGAAACCAATGCTAAAGATAACAAGTTAGACACAAAAGTAGCATTTAATAACTTAATGGTGATAAAGTTCAAAACAGATAACAATTATTAGCTAAAGACAACAAATCTCAACACAAAGTTATTAAATAAAAAACTATTTATTTGCTAGAGTTAACAAGTTAGACAGACACAAAGGTTAAAATTAATAGCAACTGATGACATAGTTCAAAGAAACTACAACTGTTAATAGCTAAAGGTGACAAAACACGACACAAAGTTATCAAATAAAAGACTCTTTATTTTGCTAAAGTTAACAAGTTAAACACAAAGGTAGCAATTAATAGTTAGTAGAAATGAAGTTCAAAACAAAAGTAACAAATACTAGCGAAAAGTGACAAATCTCGACATAATGTTATCAAATAAATAACTTTAATTTGATAGAGGCAACAAAATTATGCTAAATGTAACGAATTAGATATAGGAACAACAATTAATAACTAATGGTGACAAAGTTCAAACAAATGCAACAGTTAATAGACAAAGGCGACAAATCTAAACACACATTTATCAAATTAAAGGTTTTATTTTGCTGAAATTAACAAGTCAGACACAAAGGTCACATTTAATAGCTAATGGTGACAATGTTCAAATCAAATGTAATAATTAACAGCTAAAGGCGACCAAACAAGACACAAACTTATCAAACTGAATATCTTTACTCTGCTAAAGGTAATAAGCTATACACAATGGTAACAATAATAGCTATTGGTGACAAAATTCAAAACAAATGTAACAACTAATAGCTAAATACAACAAGACTCGACAAAAAAGTATCAAACTATAATCTTTATTCTGCTAAAGGTAACAAGTTGTACGCAATGGTAACAGTTAGTAGCTATCAGTGACAAAGCTCAAAACAAACGTAACAACTAATAGCTAAATACAACAACCCTCCGCACAAAGTTATCAAATAAAAAACTTTACTTTGCTAAAGGCAATAAGTTAGACATAAAGATAACAATCTACAGCTAAAAGTGATAAGTTCGAAACAAATATAAATATTAATAGTTAAAGGCGACAGAATTCGACACTAATTTCAAATAAAACTCTTTACTTTACTAAAATTAAACAAGTTAGGCACAACGGTAAAAATTAATAGCTAATGGTCACAAACACAACATAAAGTTGTCACATAAAATTGCTTTAATTTGCTAAAGGAAGCAAGTTGTATACAAATGTAACAACTAATAGCAAATGGTGATAAAGTTCAAAATAAACAACAATTAATAGCTAAGACAACAAAACTCCACACATAGTTTTAAATACAAAACTCTTTATTTTGCTAAGGCAACAAGCTAGACAAAAAGATAAGAGTCAATAATTAATGATGATAAAGTTCAAAACAAATGTAACCATTAATAGCTAAAAGGTGACAGAATTGGATTGAAAGATATCACAATTAAGACCTTTAATTCCTTGTTGCCTGCTGCCAACCTTTCCTCTGCTGACACTTGCCAACTCCCTTTGCCTCCACCTTTTTTCAGGGTCCACCATCACTCCACTCTTTGGGAGGATCAATTTAGGTGGAGTGAGGAGAAGACGGCGACAGAGGGAGACGACATAGGAAGGTGACAAAGGAGTGGTCGGCAGCGAAGCAGAAGTGGTAAGTGACTGAGGTGAGGGAAGGAGAGAGGGCTCTTGAGGGAGAGGTTGAGGGCGACAACATAGCGAGGGCACTTTAGGGATATGCAAAATGTATGTGATGATAAGGTGGTAGATGCATGATTCTTTGGGGTCCGCAATTGAGGGTTTTGACTTTTTCTATGCAAGGGAAAGCAAGCTTTCTAAGCGTGGGTTGGCTAGAAGCGATGTTCCCTTACAATTAATTTAAGCCACATTCATTACAGACAGATGCTCTTAGGGGGTGTTTGTTTCATCAAAAATTTTGGCATTTGGTATGGATTACAAGTTTTGGGATCAAAAAGTGAGTTTTTTTTGTATTTTGGGATTTCATAGATGGTGTTTGTTTTAAAAAAAAATTAGAATATTAAATTCCAAAAGTGCAAAAAATGCCCAATTTTTAGAATTTGTCAATGACAAATCCCATAAATGGGTGTGCTTACCTCTCAATTGGAGAGGATTTGACAAATCCCAATTTTATCTTTTTGTGGGAGGTAATCTCACCAAGATAGCATATTCATCATATTACAAAAATTTAGAATTTGGTAATGCTACAATTTGAGCTTGAAACAAACAAAATATTACAAATTGTAGTATTCCAAATCCCAAAATATTAATGAAACAAACAATATTTTAGAAATCCCAATCCATAACGAAACACCTATGGCTTTCAAATCCCATGGTGAAATCTATATCCTAAAATTATAGGATTTGAAACAAACACCCCCTTAATGTCTGCAAATGCATCAATCTTACAATGCTTCAATCAACCACCCCCAAAATAAATCCAATATTCTGACTTTTTTAAAAATAGTATATTAAATAATTAAGAGAAAATTCATCCCCAACTCAAAAATTTTGATCGCATAAAAACTAATTCAACGTCAGACCCTAAAAAACTAAACAACAGTATGGCAAAAAGAAAAAGAAAAAACAACTCACCTCCATCCCACGGAGTATCATCAGGCCTGCAAATCAAAAACCCAAAGTTCATCAGAAAACCCTAAAAATCAAAAATCAAACCAAGGATTCGACATCAAATGTAAAATTACCCAAAGATCACGGCGTTCCACAGCATGATGTTGTTATCCTGCGGGGCTCCACTGATTCCCGCGGGCGGATCATTCTGCAACCTCTTGAAATCCCTCATCAGCCTTTTCCTCGCTGGCGTCGACATCGATCCAAGCCTAAACGATCCACAAGTCAATCTTCCTTCGACTTCTCTCTTTCCCGGTGTCTTTTTTCCCTAATTTTGTGCTTCGCCCCAAAATTGGAGAGAGAAACGAAGAACCGTCGCTCAATAATGGCCACCGGTGAGAAATGAAAATGCTGTGAATTATATATAAACGATTTATATGAGTATTTACACTTTTTGCCACTAGCTTTATTTTTACGCTATTAATTACTTGACCTTGTTGACCTTTTATTATTCCCTTGAGCACGCACGCGGGTGTCAGAAATATGTAGCCATGCTAAAACCTAATCTAAATTAGTGCTTCCTCGTGAAGAGCTAACTTAGAGGCTGTTTGGTTGTTGTTGGTAAAGTTATGTATTTATGACGCAACTTAGAAAGTTGTTGTCCACCTCATTAATTTTACTTTTATATTTTTTTTTTTTGATTCCATTGGAATCATAAATTGCTTGTTTGGTTAGTAAATGTAACTTTAACTGTTTGTTTGGAAAGTGTAAAAAGTGGTCCCTACTCAAATGATCATATTGGTTGAAATTATTTTTTCCTGACTTTAATGTCAGCTTTCTCCTAAAATCATGTCTTTTTTTTATGAAATCACTTTACAAGCCACATCAGCATATGAAATCACTTTACACTATTTTCACAACTACAAACAAACAATTGAAAGTGATGAAAACTAACATTGGGACCCACTTTTTTACACTTTCCATCATTTTACATGGTAAAAACATACAACCAAACAGCCCCTTAAAAATATAAGGCTTAATTGCACTTAAATGCTGTATAGTTTACCCGCCTTGCATTTAAATCACCTTTTTTCCAAACCGAAAAAAGAAGCCCCAAAGTATTTAAGTATTGAAGATAAATACCTTAATTTTTTATAACATTTGTGCATGGAAAATGACTTAAGCACCCAAAATATAGGACCAAGTGAGAAGACAGGTGAGATGTCTTTTCCCTATTGCATAATGAAGTCATGCCAACTCATTATGCAATAGGGAGGGGACACCTCACTTGTCCCCTCCCTTGGTCCCATATTTTGGGTCCCTGTAGCAGCACTCTTTGTGCATTTACGTACTCTTATTTACTCAAAGTTGAATATAAATGCTCCAAAGCTTGTAAATGATCTCACTTAAATATCCTAGAGTCTCTAAGAGTTTTAATTTAGTATCATTTGTTATGCGACTCGGAGAAAAGATAACCCGTCTGGATTTTTTGACTAGGGGCATTCATCTGTGACACTTTAATATTTTGATGCATTTTTTTTGTACAAAATAGCACATGGAGAAAAAATAAATTAAAATGTTTTATTTCCATGAATATTAAAAAAATTTAAGGTAATCTGTTTAGATGGTTAAAGGGATTCAACCCCTAAATTTAGGCGATTTCCTTAATTCTTTTCTTAAGACAGTTATAAGAAAAAAAACTTATATTTACAGATAAAATTATAATAACCTTTTTATTTCTAACATGCATAGTAGTGGTATACTCTTCACCATATAAGTTTACCGATTTAATCTCTCTTTGTTTCTATAAAAAAAATGAGTTATCTAGCTTAAAATTCTTTCTTAATTCTTTCTCTTTAAAATCTTTTTATTGAAGCAGTGTCATAATATCTATGATCCACTATTTTAATCCCTTAATCAAACTTTCCAATTAGGAAGTTTTTATGGTAATATCAATGGTTAGAAAAAAAAAAGCATCTAAATTAGTAGAAATTTCTGTATTAAAATTCTATCTATAAATTTTAAAGGGCCAACTACAAATGAATAAAAGAAAGAAGAATAAAAAGATTTAATTTTTTTCATAATAAGTACAAATTTCCCTTGATTATAAATCTATAATATGGAATCAGATTCATATTTCAATTATTTGAGTGATGGGGGAGAATCTATGTGCTTGCGTTCACTCGCGTTGGCGACACCCGCTCGTGCTGGCAAGTTTATTTGTCCTTTTTTATATATAAGAAAAATATTTTTAGCCTGGTCCTGACTAATTTCTCAATTATCTATAACTCCTATATCATTTCTTATCAAACCGATAATTTTTAAAGGAAAAGTTACATTGATTGGGATATATTTTGAAAGATACTGCAAATGCCAATGACGACATTATTTACGATGTAAAGAAGTGACATTGACAGTGGGATATAACTTTCTTTAATAAGTGGCTGTTTGGTTGGTTTCCAAAAAACCAAGAAGAGTAAATTGGAGTTTGGAAATATCCAAAAGTACAATTTTCACCATTTCCATCCCTAAAACTTACCCACAACATCCAATAAAATATTATTTTCATCCAACAACGCATCCACATCATCCAATAAAATATTATTTTCATCCAACAACTCATCTCATATCATCCAATAAAATAAACCAAACAAAAGAAATGAGTCACATCATCCAACTCATCTCATCTCCATCACATCTCATCTTTAAAAATCACCCACATCATCCAATAATATTGTGACAACTCATCTCATCTCATCTCCATTTCATCTCCACCCATTTCCTCCAAAAAAAACAAGGAAATTGATTTCCTTAAGTGTGGGTCACATCATCCAATAATATAATGACAACTCATCTCATCTCATCTCATCTCCTATTTTTAAGAATGAACCAAACACAAGAGAAGAACCTATTTATAATAAATATGTTTCCTATTCTTTGATTTCCTTCTTTTTTAACCAACCAAACAACCTCAAAATAACTTTTCTTAAAAAAACACTCACATCATCCAATAATATGGTGACAACTCATCTCATCTCATCTCCTATTATTTGATTTCCTTCTTTTTTTAGCCAACCAAACAACTATAAAACAATTTTTTAAGGAAATAGGTTTCCTATTCCTTGATTTCCTTCTTTTTTAGGGCAAGCAAACAGCCCCTAAACGTCTAAAGTTATATTTTTACTTTTTGTATGTATTTAATCCTTGGATCTGAATTCTCTCCGATTAGCTGTTGATTGAAAAGAATCTAATTATTTAGATTCTACTTTTTTATTATAACTTCAAAGGACAATATACGCCATGTTGGATTTTAATATTGAAGCTAGTAGTTTTCCAATTAACACTATAAGTTTTTTGAATATTATTATCTATGACAAATATTTCCAAAGAACTAATGAAAATTTTGAACTAATGAAATGTTAATCTCTCCAATTATGAGGTAAAAATACAATGCAAAATTTAATAGCACGGTAAAACCAATCTTTTTACATTTATTAGTAAGGTGTTTAGAATTTAGATTGCTTTCAACATGTAGAGGTGATCCAAATTTTTTATGTAATATTTTCGTGAAACTATATAAATATTGTGCTATGACTCAGCAGGGTGACAAACACATTATATTACTTTTATCATTCAGTTGAAAATTATTGTTTTTACAATTCACTTTTCTTGGTACGAAATTCAATTATATATATTTAGAAACTAAATTTGAAAAGTGGAATATACTTAAAAACTAAATGCAAAAAATGGAAGATGAAAAAAAAATTGTCACCTAAATGGAGTTTAAGTAGGGATTTTATTTTCCTATTTTTTATTAGTTTTTCTAGAGATATTTGATTTTTATCATAAATATGATTAAATGGTATTTGAAAAAAATATTAACTTCATTGTTAAAATCCTACTTATCCTTTAAAATTGTGATTGAAAACTTAGGTACCGTTTGGCAAAGGGTTAAGTGAGGGGTTAAGGAGACTTAACCCCTTCTTAACCTGCCAAACACAATAAATCTATCTAAGGGTTAAAATGAGTTAACCCTTCATGATTTGCCAAACATAAAAAATATAAAATGGTTAAGTTAACCCCCTCTAGAGGGGTTAAAATGAGTTAACCCCTCAAAATGAGGGGTTTACTAATACTCCTATTTAGATGGAATAAGAGTTAACCCTTCTAATTATAAAGAAAATAGTCAAAATCATTGTTATTCCCAAATACTAAAACTGATCATAAGGGCTAAAATAAAACTTATTTAACGGGTTAATAATTTAGTCCTTCGGATTATCAAATGGGCTAAGTACATTAATCCTTCTCTTTAACACATATTCATTAACTCTTTGCCAAACGGGGCCTTAAAGAATTAGATCATCACTAAATTAAGTTGGATGTAAAGACTACAATAGTATAGATACAATAACTGTATGTAATTTTATTAAAATAACGTGAGCATGATTATTATAATAAAAAGGTCAATTATTATAATTTTAAACAAAAAGATGAAATGTCATAATACATCTGCCAAAATGCCAGAGTTGAATCGCCACCTTCATCGACTGCATAATCATAGAAAAATCCATCACTCATTCCTTCTTAGCCGTGAACTTCTCGATGATACATTTGAGCATCTCTCGATCACCAATATAAAGCTTCACATCCCTACTCCAATTTTTAAACTCGTATAAGTAGCACCAACATTAGAATAACTTCCACACACTCTTTAGCAAAGTTATATGTTTTGTTAGGCCCCATGTTGGCTTTTTGCTCCATCAAATACAAGTTTCTTATGTGCGAGACGAGAACTCTATTTGACTTCAAAAATTGTTTCCCACTACCGGAGACCAAAGAATGAGAATGCTCTCAACAAATGAGAGAACATTATATCCTTCAAACCATCAAACTTAAATACGACCTTAGCCTTTGCAAGCCACATCTACTAGATACAGTTCTCCTTCTCTTTTTCAAAATGCTACTAGACCATCAAATATCAACATCCACTATTGATTCATTGCTGCCAGCTGCTACATGCAAACAATGTGTTTAAGAAGAACTGTACGTCCTCATGTTTCTTCTCCGTATGCCGTCTGATCTCAAACCCCACTTTTACGTCCATACTCTCCGGTAAAACTCATAACATCTTCTAGTGAGCGAAAGCTTTTGGTTTAGATAAAGGTTTAACTTCAGCTTTAACCGCCGAGTTTCCAATACATACCACCACTGGTGATTCAAAAGGAATAGGAAACTTCGTCCATTCCATCTTCTCCAAAATCACTTCCGATTGGCATTTATAACATGTGGTATGTAAATTGTTCATTCTGCCCTACAACTGAAATAAAAACACCATCAATCATATGTGTTGATATACTGAATCTGGATTTACC